CAAAAGTATACGTGCCGAATTTTTAAATTCAGCTTCCTTGCCGGGAAAAATGGCTTTCGTTAGAACGAAGCAACAAACGTCCAAGTGATTTTCGACTAAGTCTGGATTTTTTCATCCAAATTTAATGAAACCGGCATCAAATAGGCTAAAAACGATGGCGAATTCAACGGAAACATTTTTAAAATTTTCAAAAACCATCCAGAGGGTTTGCCAGAGATCATCCAGAAAACCCTCTCAACAACCAGACTTTTTGAAAATGGTCTCGAACGATAGAGAACTGAATTCTGAGCAAGGTGAAACGTTTTTGAGTCTTCTCTGACTTCTCGATGAAGAGAAATATCCAAAAAACTAAAAAATCAAATTCCGGAATCCTTATTAGCCATCTTTTTCGGGTTCGGGTTTCGGGGGTCCGGAAAAATCCAATTTTGGTTTTAGAGGTTCGACACTTACTTTTCTGGAATCAGCTTTCGATTCTGAATCCAATGAGCCCATTCTTGAATTACAAAAATAAAACGCGAAAAAACTAGAGCCATTTTTCAAAAACTCCCTTTTTTTGCGGTTTTGGACACCTTCAGAGTATTTTGAGGCTGGCTCAGCGAGGAACGGGTTTTGGGAGCTGGGAAAGTGTTTGCCGTGATCAGCGTTCAATTCTCTATCGAACGGTATGTAAAAAGTTCGAAACAAAATTTCACTTGAATTGTGCTATATGTGCATCTTACGCATAAGTCCACTCTGTTTTTGATCCTGATTCCGAATATGATATTTGTATTGCTTCAAAGTTGAGCTCTGTTTGAGAATTACCAGAAGAATAATGACTTTTTTATGTCTGATTTAGAAAAGATAAATTTTCTCAGCAACGAAACAAAATTTTATAAAACGCTCTACATACTTTTTTTCCTACAAGTATACTGATTAGAAGGGAATAATAATTAACGCTTAGTCTTTCGATGAAAAAAACTAGATACGTTTGTAAATTTGACACTGAGGAAGCTACGATTCTGCTCCTGTTCCGTGAATTTGGCGATCAGTTCCAACTTTAGAATTTAGAAACTCTGTTTTCGATGAAGAATCAGTAAAAAGTACTTTTCGAAGTTTAGAAAACCAATAAATATGAAAACTTTGACCCAATTGAATTTGAACCTTTCGAAAAACTAAGTATTTTTAAATGTTTTCGTCAGAAAACGACTTTTTAAAATGTGTGATTGTGTTTTTCCGATGCAGCTCAGTGAGCTCTATCTAATTATGCCAAAAACGGCGCAAAAATTTCCTGCTGTAACTTTGAAAAAGCGGCATCTTACTTTCGACTTAATCTGTGTAATAAGTTCAATCTTGATACTGTAATTAGGGCGAGTTGGCAGAACCGTACGTGTTAATTACAGTATGTAAACAGAAATAAAAGTAGTAAAGAAATAACAAGGGACTATCTCTCAATTGACAATACTTGGAACGTAGCCATCATTTTTTTGCTGATTATCTGTAAGAAAAAAAATTACCAAAAGCAAAGTTTGATGAAAAAAACATTATTTAAACTATTATCGTAGAAGAATACCTATGGCTAAAGGTATACCTTTAGCCATTGCGAAGGTCATACAGTCGATTTACCACGAGAGTCATATTCTTCTTGATATAAGTTTGTCTGTTCATACACAAAGAAAAAACCAAAGAAAAGCAAGAAACGTCTATGAAACGATCAAAAATGTACAATATATATGTATAACTGTATCTATTAGTTATTGTTGTTTTGCCTTCAGCAGCATAGGCATCAGTTGATACATTGAGTCCTTACGCTGATGGGCTGTCATCAGTAAGTATAAAACATGAAAGAACAGTCAGCATAATGGATGTCAGAAGTTTATTTAAAAATCAACAGGAAGGAGTACAAATCTGACACAAAACTCAAAGTGCTCTTCTATCTACTAGTAGTGGAGAAAACGTTGGTTCATTCAAATGTGGTGGACTGCTCTGTACTCCTTCAAAAAACAGATCTTTCTCGAGGTGAAAAAAAAATTAAATGGTCTTCTCTCGTGTAAGAGCGAGAAGAAAGCGAAGGAAAAAATGCATCTATCAGCAATATATTCAGATTTCCGATATTGATGAGAAAAAAGACGGCCCCTCCGTAGGATAGATTCAAATAAGAAAAATGAGGTGAGAAAAGTGGCCTTGAAAAAACATACTAGTAGTAATTATTATGATTCGATCGGTGCTCCAGTTCAAATTGTTATGCATCAATTGCTCTGCTGAGGCAGCGCACAGTTCTCATTTTTTCCTATTAAATGCAAGCGAAGAGAGGAAAACAAAAAATGATGATATGTATCCCTTTTCTGATGGCCAGGTGAGACAAGCAGACATAACGTTTGTCTTTTGCCATAATTTAGTGTAAAAATATGTCGTCAACAATTCCTCCGCTGACGCAAGGCGATGGGTACGGAATTGTGGTCGGTTTGGGAGCGGTTTTCGCGCTGGGGATGATCGGGACCACGTTCTGTTTGCGTCGATATCATGGTGAAGCAACGGAATCAAGCGAAGGCTTTTCGACGGCCAATCGAACAGTAAAAACAGGTCTGATTGCTTCAGCCGTCGTCTCATCATGGACATGGGCTGCCACTCTGCTGCAATCAAGTTCGGTTGCCTATTCTTATGGGATTTCGGGCCCCTTTTGGTATGCGAGTGGAGCGACAATCCAAATTGTTTTGTTCTGTGTCATTGCTATTGAACTCAAACGTCGAGCTCCGTTTGCACACACGTTCTTGGAAGTAGTTCGTGCTCGGTACGGTCGAGCCGGTCATCTTGTTTTCATTGTCTTTTGTCTGTGCACAAATATTCTTGTCACATCGATGTTATTAACGGGTGGTTCAGCTGTTGTTTATTCTCTGAGTGGAATGCATATTGCAGCTGCTTGTTTTCTCTTACCGTTGGGAACGATTATCTACACAATGGTGGGCGGGATCAAAGCCACTTTTCTCACCGATTATGCACATACCGTGGTGGTTCTCATTATCATTCTCTATTTTGCATTTACGACCTATACAACATCACCCCTGCTTGGTTCAACCTCCAAAGTCTATGATTTGCTTGTGAATGCCAGTCGAAAACATCCGGTGGAGGGAAACTCTCACGGATCTTATTTGACCATGCGATCCAAAGAAGGGGCCATCTTTTTTGTCATCAATATTATTGGAAATTTTGGAACTGTCTTTCTTGACAACGGATACTACAACAAAGCCATTGCCGCTTCGCCTGTCTCTGCGCTGCCCGGCTACATTCTGGGTGGGATTTCGTGGTTTGCCGTCCCGTTCCTTGCTGCCACAACGATGGGGCTCGCGGCCGTTGCACTCGAAAATAATCCGGTCTTTCCCACTTATCCAAATCGACTGAGTCCAGTCGACGTATCAGCCGGTTTGACCCTACCCGCAGCTGCTGTGGCTCTTCTCGGAAAACATGGTGCATTCGCCACGATGATTATGGTCTTTATGGCTGTCACAAGTGCCATGTCTGCTCAGTTGATCGCTGTGAGTTCGATAGTCACTTATGATCTCTACAAGACCTATGTAAATCCAGAAGCTAGTGGAAAGAAACTGATTTACATTTCACACACGTCGGTCATCCTCTTTGGTCTCGTCATGAGCGCATGGTCGACTGGATTGTATTACATTGATATTAGCTTAGGCTATTTGTACTTGTTGATGGGTATCATCATTTCAAGTGCCGTCATCCCGGGTGCTCTGACCCTTTTGTGGAGCAGACAGAGCAAATTGGCTGTGTGTCTTTCTCCGCCACTCGGTTTCATCTGTTCTGTGATCGCATGGTTGGTCACGACCAAAGTTCAATTTGGTACGATCAGTGTTCAAACAAGTGGATCGAATATCCCAATGCTTGTTGGGAATGTGGTCGCTTTGTTCAGTCCTCTCCTATTTGTACCCGTTCTCTCGTTAATAATATTCCGCGAAGCGCCCTACGATTTTGCTTCGATGAAACAAATTAAACGAGTTGATGATGGTCCAAAAAGCATTCCCGATACGACCCCTGACGAAATGGAAAGTGAAATTACTCTTCTAACACGGAATTCGAGATTTGCACGAATCACAGCTATGGTACTTACATTGTGTCTCATCATTCTGTGGCCATGGCCAATGTATGGGTCTTCGTATGTCTTTTGGTACCATCCATATGTTACATGATCAAGTTTTGGGCTATTTTGACCTCCTGCCCCGCATAGTGGGCATCCAGGCTGACGTTAGGCAAAAATCAAAAGTCAACCTTTCTTTTATTCAAATAGTGGTAAACATACTTCGAAATGTGCTGTATTTATTTGATAGTAGAAAAAGGTAAATCTTATGGGACACGAAATGACACGAAAAATCAGCCTCGAAACAGCGATCTGTATAGAAACTTTAGTTTGATGCAAAATCCAGCTCCCTTTTGTGTGTCAACAGGACATAATCTGAATCCAGACATCACCAGCTGTTAATTGGTATAAAGACTGCTCAATATGGACCCATAACCGTGGAGTAAGAAAAAAATAATTTCCCTAAGTGATTTTTCAAACAGCTATGGTAGCGGAATGGGTGCGTGCTCTTTAGCGGACACTCAAACTCACTGAGACTTTATCAGACTATTTTTTCTACCTATTCTCTATCACCACACATAGTGCACAGACATTCTTGTGAACGGTAGGCTTTCCAAACGCCCTTGATTTTTCAGATATTTGCCATTTTTCTCAAGTAAGCAGCAGTTTTAAGAAAAAGTAACGTGATATTTATAATCAGCACAAAACTGCATCGAATAGTGTAAACAAAATGTTTCGGACAAATGTCCAAGTTAAAGTCAGAATTCATCAAAAAACCTCTCGAGCATGGATTTCATCTCTGATCTCACACAGCATTTTCTAACCGCACTCTGATCATCTGAACAAAATAATATTGAGATAACATGCTTGCCGGTAATCTAATAAATTTAATGAGAACTCACAACCTCTTCTCATGGATGAGAGTGTAGTCGATTTTTTGCAGTTTCCAAAGTCGCCTTTTCGTGATGCTGCCCAAAAATGCCTCGGTGTCTTGAACTAAGAGTGATTACGTAATCATGATCCTGACCTCCTGCTTCCCACCGTAATCAAATGTAATCTTGGCCGAACCACTACCCACACCCCTAAAATTGTTGATGTAATATAGAATCGACAACTTAGTAAACCTTTCTTTACGGGTTGGGTTGTTGTGGGGATTGTTTGGATGTTTATATCATTCGGCATTGTTGGTATTTATCCACTTGTAGAAGGTCGTAAGTCAATTTTATCTGTCTGCAAGAAAATTTATGCTGATTTAACGAGAAGTCGTCCGGCTACCACTGATGACAATCAGAGTCACGCTACTCACAGTGGGGAGATGAACAATTTGACGAAGATAAGAGTTAGAATATGACTGACAATATGTCAGATTTTACCTGTGTTCTGCATGAAGTTTTAAAAGTGAAACAAATATATTAACAATATGTAAAATTTGCTTTTTTTACCAAATTGGGTGAAAAAGTACAGTGTTAAAATTGATTAAAAATAAATTATTGACAGTAAAAAGACTGACCTACCTCAAAACTTGAAATAATTAAAGTACAAAAATACAATCACACAAACAAATTCTTACAGATATAGAGATCAGAACGTAAGCCGAGCATTAGAGCAAGAACTGAGTACGAAAAAGAAAGAATGTACTTACGTTTAACGTTGTTCAACTGTTACAAGGGTTCGGTAAAAAATTCATGCTCAACACTAGTTCTAAATATTTTAAACTAATTTTTGCTAAGCTTTTTTGACGAGAAACATGGTCTTCGTATTGATTCTGTGTCAAATGATCATTCATACATGTTTAATCCCGGTCTTCCTAATGAACGAGCTGAATCCAACGAGAATCCAATGTTTTGGCCGAATTCATATGATCATATTCGCTTGAATGGGATAAAATCTTGTGAATATTCATTGCCATTCTTGTATATAGCCCCTTGTATTGTGGCTGGGTTAAGCTGAGGATACAAATCAATAACAGATTGGAGATTCTTCAAATACCACGAGAAAATTAGGTGCTATTTTAAATATATTTAGGTATGTCCCAGTTCTTAACTGGTGTTGAGGCAATCGGGAAAATTACTATACATTGATTATCACGATTCGTTCATAGCTGCTGAACGTATCTCGTTTTAAAAAAAATGTTTACTCTACCAAACGCATTTCGTAAAAAAATTCCAACTGTATTAACAAAAACTTGAAATATTAGAAAATACATTAAATCAGGGAAAAAACTGTTTGAACAGGTTTTCTCCCTTGCATTTTCGAATGCTTTAAGTTTTGTCAGAATTTTTATTTTTATTCATTTTTTAATTTTATTTTTAATTATTTTTAATATAAATAATTTTTAATTATTATTTTCTCTGCAATTTTTTTAATAAACACATTTGGTAGAGCCAACATTTTGAGACACGTCCAGCAGCTATGATCGAATCTTGATACCAATGTACAGTAATTTTCTCGGCTGCCTCAATCCCAGTTAAAAACTGGTGCATACCTAAATATATTGTGAAGGAGTGAATGATGAGGACTGACTTGCCTTTTCACTGAACATTCTTCTAATAAAATAAAAAGAGACTGTCAACGAAATCGACAGTGTTTAAGTGAAAGACTTCAACTCCATTGATTTGCTACGAATACTACAATAAGGCAATTAATTAAGGCAATATTAATTCCAAAACGTCGTTTTTCATTTGGTACCATCCTGTAAAATTTATGAGAAATTTCAGCGGGATAATCGTGTCACTGCTGCAATATCTGCGATGGGACTACTAAATACTTCGCAACGAATATTAATACTCAGATGCGTTTCAAACGAGAAGTCAATAAAAGAGCTGCGTACAAAAATGTATGAACGATATCAGCAAAACCCTAAACTCTTACAGCATCCATCCCATGTCGAAATTTCGAGAGATTTTTTTGCAAAAAATTGCAAAAACTCAGGTCCGCTGTTATACAAAAATCTGTAGTAAAATTTTCGTGTCTCACGTAACACCACACGCATGAAATTCTTGTGCGTTTTTCTGCAGAAACAAAATTTTTTGCGATAAAACGCAGAAAATATCGTTGTTTTCATGCATAAAATATTATTGTCTGTGATAACAGCAATAAAGCTCTATGTGTTTCTCAGACAACCACCGGACAGGCTCATCGAACCCGCCCACAGGCAAAGTCTCGTGCCTCACCCCCGAGTCCACTGTCAGCAGATTATGATCTGCCTACAGTCTTCTCATGGGGGAAACAGCGGACTCCAATCTCATGGAGACCCGTGGAGTCGCCTGGAACCCTGTGGAGTCCCTTGAAACCCCGTGAAAACCATTGGAGTCTCGTGGAGTCCATTCTAGTCCTTCAAAGTATATCAGAAATCATCGGAAACCGCCTAAAAAATTACCTTACAAGCTCTCTTTTATCAGTCTCGACATCAGAAAGAAAAGATTCTCTTTCTGAAATTTAATTCTTGATTGGAAAACACACGTTTTCTTTATATTTTATCTCGTTCAAATTCAGCTGATTCTACAACAACTAGTCTAATAAAATATCTTTTTTATAATGCACAGACACGAAAGAAAGACAAAAACTCAAGTGACATTTTATTTAATCCTTTTTTATTCATCTGCATCGCTCAGAATCATTTATCGTTTAACCCTCGACTTTGGTTGTCTATTGAAAATAACTGATCAGACCGTTTTATGCAGATATTTTGTATCGAAATTTATTTCAACTTCCAAGTAAAAATGTTTTAAATGTGACTCCGTTACATTGAAAAATGATATACTAGAAAAATCCGCTTTTTTTTAAAGCTATCACAAAAATACTTGCTAATCGGTTTTTCAATATTCTTCACATTATTATCAAAACCTGATTGTCGTCATCAGAACATCGGTAAGGGTGTGATCATGTATGAACACAGAGGAAAAAAGGACATATAGTTTCGAATGTACTCAAAGTAAAGTTCATTGAGCCGAGTTCATGACGATCGAAAACACTCAAGTTGAGTTTTTTCTCTAAAAGAACGGAGTCTCGGTCAGTGAATATCTACGGACTATCATTATTTGATAATAGGCGTGTCACATTAATAGAGAGAGACGTTTCTTTAGTATTTCTCACCACTTCTGGCAGTTTCTTTTATGAGTTCTAAGTTTTCTATCTTTCCATTCATGCGTTCCATTCATAATATGAAATAATTGGTATTCATACATTTTCGCAAAGCGACGAACGCGCAAATTGTAGCTTCTCAACTGAAGGCAAAGATGCTTGCTGATATCTGTTGAGGCAGAGCGTGTTAAATTTAGCGCTATTTTTATCGGTAATAATCACACTTTGATCCATTTTCTAATCATTAATATTATCAGTTATACATTACCAGTAAATACAGCCAGGAAACTGCTAGAAAACTACTTAGTATTCTGTTTATTTTTGCAGGGTAAAAATACACCGCAAGAAAACCCGTATAAGTACCATGCGTTTTCTGGTGTTGCGTTAGTGTGGCCAGAAAAGTACCAAAAAACGCACGTTTCTGCAGAAATCGTTAAAAAAATTTGACATAGGAGCAGCAGATGTAAGAGCTTCTATTTACGGTTTAATAAACATGTATATCGCCATGCTGCAGTACTATAGTACCAACCTCAAAACTTTGCGATAATTTCATCGTTGATAATGGAAAACATCTAGAACGAATCTAATCTACTTTATATGAATTTTTGATTAACACTTAAATCATTGGATGATCGAGACCCATTGTCTACTGTGAACGAAGAAAAACGCAACAACAAAAAAAATTCTTTATAAATTTGATATTACTCATATGAAAACTATTATGCCATCGTCCTTCAGCAGAGTTAAGGACTGTAAATAGATTATTTGAATGTTTTATCTGTCGTTTATGAGTGCTGGTTTCACTACCTATAGGCTCAAACAGAGTGCATAATTGTTATATATCTCTTATGTAGCGCGTGTAAACTCCTGATCTGCTCTTTCAAAACAATTTCACACACGGATATTAAGTCTCCATTCAGCTCGACGATTTCGATTCATTATCCGTCTAGTATGAATGTCCTGAAAATACATCACCAAATCTACAGAGACGGATGAGACTTTATGATCCTGTTTTATACCGTATGTTTT